CTGCTGTTTGTGATGTCTTTAAATGACTTATGCAGATTGAATGGCAAAGAAGGTACTGAGACATTGTGAGCCGTGCTAGTCTGAAGACAAGTAAATGGCTAGATTTGCACCTTATATCTAAATTGATTGATCTCTCTCTCCCTCTTTCTAGCAAAGCTTTTGTAAGCTACAGCTCATGAAAACTTGTGCTACATATAAAAAAGACACTGATTACTGAAGTTTTCCCAAACAGCTGTATTCTCAAAGCACTGTTTCTGTGCTTACTGGAACTGAAAGTACCAATAATGTTGAAACCAATAAAATTCCATTCAAGGGATTACACGTAGATAGGGATGGAAAATAAGGGATCAATACTAAGTATGAAGTGAAATAAGGTAGAACCAAAAAGTCATATTTGTAATAAAAGAAAAGATGCTTGTAAGTGGGTATATGCCATGTTTTACATTTTATGCAAAATAGGATTTTATTTTTTTAAAAATAGTCACCCCCATCGTCCCTAAAGACTGGAGTTGCACTGTTGAATCAAAGATGTGTTACTTCCTCCAAGTACTCAGGTACTCAAGGAAAAAAAAAATTTATCTTGATTCTTCCACAAGAGACCTGTTATGTTTCCAAGAAGAGGAGCTGATTCAACACATGCTCAAACATCCTGCCTGTGGCCCCTCCCCACCTAGTTCTGGCAGGTCTGGAAGAGAAGAAGTTGCATGATTCCATACCTGAAGACCTTGCTTGTACCTGGTAGAAATGTTGTATATAGCAATGAATCCATTCTGAGGCTTCTGACACACTTTATTACTATTATATGATATACACAACATAATGACTATGTTACATTATATTACAGCGTACAATACCGTACATCATGTAAAACATTATCACACATTTATATACATTTCTATTTATTATGTCAATCTATCTGGGGTTTTATGCCATGCTCATTATCAAATGCATTTTCTACTATGCTTATTTTCAGCCAAAGTGTGACTTCTGAAACTCAAGCTCTTTAGAGATACAAGAGAACACAGAGACAAGAAGACATATTTTCTCTTTTGTAAAAGATAATACAATTAAAAAATAAAAACGCTTAAGACCTAGTTTCAGCAAAACCAACTGATGTTAGAAATAGACAGGACACCATGGCTTGGCCCTCGCTAATTACAATTATAATTGCTGTGTAAAGAGAAGGAAGCTTATGAGACACTGAAGAAGCATTACTGAGCAGTATTATTATTAATTACGGATACTGGGGGAAGATTGGGAGGTCTCACTCAGTGTCTGCTACATTCCACAGAGGACTGTCAACACAGGGTGCATCTACACAAGATGCTGACTGTGCAGTAGCCAAATAACACCGTGCAGTAGCATATCACAACACTAACAGTACTAATATGCTACTGTGGAGTATTATTAGGTTACTGTGTAGTAGTGTAACTTAAAAGACATACACCAGTGCTATTGTGCAGTAACTCCAGTAACTGAGCATTTATTTAGTACTTACTTATACAAGTACTAAATAAATATGCAGTAACCATTGGGCAATCACCTAGGACCATTCCATACAGTGATACTACATAAACTATGGTCTGGTCAGTGCCCTGAGATGTGCATGTAGATGCACCCACTTATAACAAAA